TGGAAACTCTAACAATAAGCTTTTTATATATTTTTCAATTAATTTTTTTCAATTGGGTCCTCTTTTTAGCTGGAAAGTTGGGCATAAAACACAATATGTACACATAAATGTATATGACGGTAAGAATCAGCTCTCTGTGTTATTATCAGAAACGTTATAAATGCATAGTTGATAAGAAAGTTTACAAAAAAAAGCATGCAAATCTTTTGCTTCCCAATAAACATTACGGAGGGTTTTCGAAAATGATTTTCGATATGCAATATGAATATGGAACTGAAAATAACTTATAACCAACCTTAATTTTTCAACATTCTTAGTGTTATGAATATTGGAAATACATTCGAAATGGATTCAAGAAATAACAAGCATAGTAACAAGATAAAAAGTTACGTATTTCGTTGCCAAATTATAGACAATCTCTCTCTTTCACTACAACTTCCTTTAGAGAATGAGCTGTAAAACCAACGTAAATATTTCACATTCATTGCCGAAAGGGAGACTCAAAAAAGTTTTTCTCTCCAATCATTCTCGAATTATTAAGCAATTGAAGTGATAATTGGGTTATTATTCAGTTAAATACTAATGCCAAGTCACCGTGACAAAGTCAAATCTGTATCGTTTGCTGGCCAAATTTATATGGTCGGTACAGAATCGGGTATCAGCTGGTATCAATGCATTAACACACATTTTCTGTTTAATTGCATTTAAGGACAATTGCGTCATTGGTCCATAGATTTTACAAAACCATCCATGCGCAGGGCAACTGCTTTACTTTGGCCCAAATTTAATTATTTGGACGTGAATGACGTGCGATTAAGTTGGATGACGATTTGTGCCACCTAGCGGATGCCACGATGGACATGCAGCACAAATGATACATGCGATTTAACCTCCCTGGAATTTCTCTTGTGGGATTTTCTGATGGCCAATCATAAACACGCGGCCGCTGTGGTATAGTGGTTAGCAGTGCGCGCTACTATTTCGCATTACCTGGCTTTGAGGCCAGTTTCCGACCAACATCAAAAAATAAAAAAGAAACAAAAATAAATTCTAATAGCGGTCGCCCCTCTGTCTTGAAAAACAGCTTCTCATAAAAATGCAATCGCCGATCGGAGTCAGCGTAAAACTGTAGGTCCCTCACTTTTGTGTGACAAGGTCAAGGCCACAAAGCCACGCCACACATCGGAGGAGAAGCTCGGCCAAACACTAACATACTGTGTAAACGCCAGTCTATTATTATTATCATTATAAACACTTTATTTTTTTTTTAATTTAAGCCATTGCAACCCACTTAAAACTTATCACCAAATTACTCGTCGAAAAAAATTTCAGTGCAGTGATTTTTTTTTTTACAAATTTTCCCGCAACATTTTCAAAGAGTGCAAATGAGTTTGTAAGTTCACGACCAACAACTGAGAGAACAGAGAATGAGCAAAACTGACTGACTCAAGCTTAAATCATCAAAACAAACCACTTTTTTCATAGAACGAAAGCATCTGTAGACGCACACATACAGTCAGCGTCAAAAATATGCAATCCCTGTCTTCCATTCCAAATTTTTCTTATTTTTTTTATAAAGATATAATTTATTCCACTGCAAAAATCGCAAGAATAAATTTGTTTAATTTCATTCAGAACTGGGGAAAATTTCGATTTCAGAAAAAAAATCATCGAAATTTCAATTTTTGAATTCAGAATTCTCAGAAACCGATGGTAATTTTAAGCGACTTGAAACTTGCACATTAATGTTTTAAATTTTAATGGACTACAAAATTACTTACTCAAACTTCTACTACTTCCCGAATTCTGTAAGAAATTAAAAAAAAAAAAAATATTCTTGAAGTCTTTGTTGTTCAGTGAACTATATTTTTATAAAAAAAATAAGAAACCTTGAGTATGGAAAATATATGTAAATAAATAAAATAGTCGAAACCTCAGAGTATGCATATTTTTGACGCTGACTGTATGTACATGTGTACATATTTACATAAATACCTACAAATAATACAATATGGCAGGAGATTAAAAGCACAGCAGCCAGCACATATGGAGATGCAAGCAAAAACTTGTTTACAAACAAAACAAATTATTATTTACAATTCAAAGTAAACAAATTGCTGTTCACAAAAGTATTTGCGATGAAATATTTGTTTTTTTAAAGCCGCTGGACTAAAGCAAATTTGGAAACAAAGTCCAAGAACGTAAATAGAATTTATGAGAAATTGTGAACACATTGAACGCTTTGGTTAGCAGATAAAATTGAGAAAGACATTTCGCAACTGAGCATTAAGGATAAGTATTCCCATAAAATAAATTTCCGCCAACAATTAACCATACATTTTAATTTATTCTACTTAAAAAATATACATATGTGTTTTATATTATTTTAATTCAAATAAACATTAATCTCTTACACAATCTCAGACCTTAGTCCGTCAAATTCACTCTACAACTTTTTCCACTCGCAAGTAAACGTCACTCTCTGCCATCGAAATGAATGTCTTCTTGTTGTATTGTATCGGAATTTGGGTTTTTTCACAAACATCGAATTTGAAATTCTTCAGCAAGTACGCCAAACCGATGCGCGCCTGCATCAGACCGAAACGCAAACCAATACAATTGCGTGGACCATCGCCGAACGGCAGCCACTCAATGGAGTCGCGTTGCGCCACTTTTTCCGCTGTGAAGTTGTCGGGATTGAACTCTTCCGGATTGGGGTAGTAGTCTTCGTCGAAGTGTATACCCACCGCCGGTATCACCACAAACATGCCCTTCTTGATCTGGTACTTCGGATGGCCAGCGACTTGATAGTCCTCCAAGCACTCGCGCGTAAGCATCGGCACTATTGTGTGCTTCCGCAATGTTTCTGTCGAGACAAATCAAATGCTACAGTGGCACATCTCTCAATAGTAACTACATAGCATACGTTGCCCACCTACCTGATATTACTTGATTTAAGTAGCTCATTTCCTTCATGCACTCATAGGTGAACTCGCCGTTATGCCTCGTCAGCACCTCACATACTTCCTCACGTGCACGCTGTTGTATATGCTCATGCTGCGCCAACTCGTACAGGGCGAAGCCCATTGTGGTCGATGAGGTCTCAAACCCGGCCACCAAGAATACGAATGCCTGCGCGGCCAGCTCCTCCACCGTTATATTCGTCATCGCCTGACCATCCTCGGTCTTCATCATCTTATTATTCTTCAGCTCCAATAGCATGTCAAAGAAATCATTGCGTCTAATGCCATTCTTCTCCCGATATTCGATATTCTCGCGCACGATGCGCATATAAAATTCGGTGATGTGGTCGGGTGTTAATTTGATATGCAGACGTCGACACAATTTTGGAAAGAGTATAATAAATGCAATGCCTACCAGGCTATGACGCTGATCTATAAATACACGCCGACCCATCTCCCGGAATGGATCCTTAGGATTCTTTAGGCTATTGCAGTCGATGCCAAAAGCGCACGAACCAATCACGTCGGTGGTGAAGCGCCCTAGAAAATCTCGCACCTCAAGTGTCGAACCATCGCTCAATGCCGCAGCCACAACATTCACCAACTCAGCGCCCACACGCGTAACAGTTGGAAACATTTGCTTCATCTTGCCCGATGTGAATGTGGGTGAGAGCTTGTTGCGCATCACACGCCATTTATGTCCGTCTAACGAAAAAAGGTGTCCAGTAAGTGGATCATCATCTGGGTTCGTATAGAAGCCGCGATCAGTGAACTTGTTAAAATCTTTGATGAGTATAGCTTTGGCCAAGTTTGTGTCGAGCACAAAAGCCGTTGGGCGCTGTAGCCAATAGAAGCCGCAGAACGGGCCAGTGCCCTTGAATTTTCTGTAAGTGGATAGCGCAATTTCCGCAAACGAGCGCGTCTTTTGCACGCCAACCAAATTGCCTAACAAGTAGTGGGGCTGGTCGCACGGTATGCCCAAATCCTGCCAATAGTTCAAACGTTTTCGTAGCCAGTAGGCGAAGTAACCCACGAGGCCTAAGACAATGATGAGTAACATTTGTGTGAGCAACATGATGGCGAGAAAGCGGCAAGTCAATCGTTTTGTTTGAATGCAACTTTGGAACTAATATTATAAAAGTTCTATGAGTATATCAAACTGGATATATTCGAAAGCTTTGGCCGGAATGCAAGTATACTTCACACCGATGCACATAGCCAAATGAAAACAAAGCGGAGAAGCTTCATTAATTTGCGCATTGCACTGGCAATTATTGAGAGCTTCTACTTAAACTTTAAGGCGATAGTGTTGGGGTAGAATTCGATATGACTCACAAATTACTACAGTTTTAGCAATTGATCAATTCTTTGTATGTATGTATATAAATATAAGTATGCATAAACAGTCGAGTGCATTCGCTTGGGTATTAAAGCTTTTAATGCCAGTCAGCGGTTGCTTCCAAAGTGCTCACTTCCGTCAGTTGGTAGGTGAAGTGTTTTTGCGACCAGAAAGGTAGAAAAACTAGCCACTGTCGTTTACTCACCGTTTTCATGTGCCGAACTTGGAATCTTCAAACTGCAGAGGCTTTTTAATTGACGCGACCGCTACCGGCATTCACGAGACGGGAGTTGTCAAAACTGTTGATTAACTATCGAAGAATATTGTCTCAGTTTAACTGAATCTGGAAATTGAGATCCATAAGATGGCAGCAGTCTGAGCTTCAAGGAAGAGCATGCAGAGGGAGCTGCTTGTTAAAATGTTGCTAAATGCTACTTGACGGGAAGTATTTAGGACTAGCTAATACAGCTGGGTACGGGCCTTTAAAATATATGAGCAAAAAAAGAAAAGCTAAAAACAAAAGGGATGTTAAAATTGAGACCTAATGGGGTTGTGTTTTGACGGGCCGTTCCGACCCTGGCAGGGCTGGTCTGGATGAAGGATAGGTGTTACAATTAAAGTGGTCGAGTTATTTATTGTCGATGGTGTAGTGTCCTTGATCGGTATGCCTCAGTTCAGCTTTAACCTCCTTAGTTCAGGTGCTAGCGAGTCGGATTGAATTCGTAGGGTAAAGTTAATTATGTGCATTGAATTACTTGGACTATTCTGAGATATAACCATTCACTTTCAAATACAATTCATCGGTGTATGCGATCAAGTAAACCCTCTCTGATTTGACTATGCGTTCCGTAGCACTCCGTCTGTAAAAGCTTTTGAACTTAGCAACCTTGGACTTCAAAATCTTAAACTTTTAACTAAAAAACGCACTATTACTTTTTATTGAGATTACCAATTTACCAAGCTTGGTAATATAAGCCTAAATACGACTATATTCAAACAACTGCTTCCGTTAATTTTTAGGCGGTTTTTTAAAAAAAATTATATTTTTTCGGTCGTGACTATACTGGTTTCGGTTTCTGAGTCGGCTCTATGCAGCACAAGGACTTCCTGACCAAGGAATGTTATTTCAGTGATCTAAATCACGATGAAAGAAAATTTGGGGCCAGACTTGTATGTTTTAAAAATAAAATATCACGTTTTCATAAGCTTTTATTAAGTTTCACCTGTGTGTAATGCAATCTTGGAATCAACTTTTAACCAACTTTCCTATGAGCTAGAGACTTATAAATTTAAAATTAGCTCAGAAGCCGATGACAGTGCAATATGAAAGGTTAATTTGTCCGCTAGGCGTCGAGATCTTTGAAACTTCCATGTTTATGCTCTGGTATGGTTCGTGTTTAAAAGGTATATTACTTAAAGGAACCCACGAAACTTTAGAAAAGCTTGTCTTAAAAATTTTGTTTATTACTTGTTTTTTTTTTATTTTATTTAATTTAACTTTTTTTATATTTTATTTAATGCAGCTTAAGGCCATCGAAGTAGCACACTGTGTTCAAAGCGCTCATATTGCGAGTAAGCAGCTTGCAAGTTTAACAAATTACAAGGTTGGGATATACAACTACACACACTTATTATATGTACTTGTTTTTGTCGGATCGAAACAATTAAATTCATTATACAAACATTTTCAGCATATAATATAATTTTAACACATACATATATTTCTATGTAAACCCTCACAAATTACTTAATTATAGGGTTTTGTGAATAATATTTATCAGTTGATTCTGAGTGGCAATTTAAAACAAACTTGGCTCCTTTTCATGTACATATTTGGCTTTTCGCAGTTTTTAATAACAATAAAAAAAAACACTTTAATTGACTCAAACACGCTTCAGTTGCAAGTATATTCCATTTGTGCTGGATGTCAAAAACTGCTTTGGATCCATTTGCAAGGGGATTTCTGTTAACTCGCATGTAGAAAACTCGAAATTACGCAGCAGGTAAATTAAGGCGACGCGCATCTGCATTTGTGCAAATCGCATGCCAATACAATTGCGTGAACCATCGCCGAATGGCAGCCAATTGATGGCGTCCCGGGACTCCTTCGCTTCCGGAGAAAAACGATCCGGGTTGAACTTCTCTGGCTCGGGATAAATTTCAGGATTGTGGTGTATACCCATGACTGGTATATATACGGGCATGCCCTTTTCGATCACGTAATTCGGCTGGTCAGGCACAACGTAATCCTTCAGAGCTACACGTTGGAGATGCGGTAAAATTGGATAGATGCGTAGCGTCTCTGCAATAAGCAATACATATGTACACACCAATTGACTTACCGTTAAAGGTTCTAAATTTTTATTAAACCTACCTGCGATGACTTGCTTCATGTACGGCATTGAATTGATGCATTCGTATGTTACCTCGTTGTCGTATTGCGCTAGCGTCTCCGTGATTTCCTCGCGCATGCGCCGCTGAATCGCCAAATTCTGCGCGAGCTCATACAACATGAAGGACAGTGTCGACGACGATGTCTCAAAGCCACCTACAAAGAATACAAACGACTGTGCCGCCATTTCCTCGACGGTTAGACCCTTCTCATCCATTTTATCAGCGAATTTCAACTTTCCTTTATTCAATTCCATCAGTATGTTCAAAAAGTCCTTCCGATGCACATTGTTCTTCTCCCTGTATTCCACAGCCTCGCGTACAATATTTATAAAGAAATTGGTAATTTCATCTGGAAATATACGCACGTGAAGTTTGCGAGCCAATTTCGGCGCCGCGTGAATTAAGCTATTAACGAAGTTCGAATGTCGACGATCAGTGAGAACGCTACGTCCCATTCTACGAAATATGGCATCCGGATCCTTCAGACTGTTGCATTCAATGCCAAAAGCGCACGATCCAATCACATCGGTGGTGAAACGCGCCATGATGTCTTTAATCTCGATAACGTTGCTCTTTGCGATCTCACCGTCTAAGGTTTCCACGAATCGCTCAGCTACCGCAGTCACCGTGGGAAACATGTATTTCATTTGGCCGGAGGTAAAAGTGGGCGATAGTTTGTTGCGCATAACACGCCACTTTTGGCTATCAAGCGCAAACAAATGTCCAGAGAGTGGATCATCTTTTGGATTGCTGAAATTACCGCGATCAACGAAATTACTAAAGTCCTTAATCAGCACTTGTTTTGTCAAATCGGGGGACAAAACCATAACGGCTGGCCTTTGAAAGAAGTAAAAACCACAAAAAGGACCCGTACCCAGATGATGCTTATAGATTCTTGTGAAAGCTTCGGCAAAGCTGACTGTTTTCATCAAACCCTTAAGATTACCAAATAGCCAATCTGGCGGATCACAAGGGATGCCTTTCCTCTGCCAGTAAGTCAAATTGCGACGTGTAATATAAAAGACGCCAGCGACAAGCGCGAGAAAAATACTTAATAAAATTTCCGTCACAGCCATTGTGGCAAAAATTATTAGATGGTGTTTAGTTGCGCGCCTAACATGAACTAGCAGGTTAGACAAAACGACACTTGTATATGTACATATGTATGCATTTAGTATCTAAAGCATTTTTCAGCTGGTAGACGTAGCGTGCTTGTAGCAATATCAATTCCAGTGACTTGGCAACTTTTGCATTGTACTTTAGCGGAGAATTGCAAGTAACTGCGATAAGATAAATATGGGTTACCCCCCTCTATATACATACACACCCGTGTATGCATGTTTAGTATGTGTCATCACTGCAAGTGCGAATAACATAAAAACGGTAAAAAATTATGAATGAAAAAAATATCGATTTTTACATCTATTTATTAATGAAGAGCAGGAATGCTTAAATGAAAAGGTCACAGGTAGGCAGCGTTCGGTTTAACTAGTTAGAGCCAACAAAAATGAGCAGAGCTTTAAACTTTCAACAGTTACATTTTTTGCATGCCCATTAGATCGTATTACCCTTGATTTTCTCTAATAGAATGCATAGGAGACCGCTACTACAGATATTTTACTTACATACTTCTTTTATAGATATGCCTTTGGCGTATGGAATTTTTGTTTGTTTATTCTTTACTATCCAACAACAATTTTAATTAGTCATCGGGCTTCCTAAAGAAGTCTATTAACTTTATCGTTATCAGCGACTTTTTGTTATGTTTCGTCTGATGCAATATGTAGACCTGGTAAATAATATTTTAATAGTGAGACTGTTATTTTAATTTTCTTCAATTCAAGCCATTGCTCAAGTTGAGTGGCCAAGATATGTACACCTTTGCCATTAACAAACCATGAAAAAGCTTTAGTGGATAAATAGTGAATCGGTTAGTCAGCCAGCAAGCTAATGGTCGAGGATACTCTGCAGTCTGTTGTCTTTAGTTCCTTTTTTATTACCAAGAATTCCTACAACCAGGTGAACCATGCTGAGGAATATCGAAAAAGCTTTTTTATTTTCAAAACACCTAATATTTGCGTTGTCGTCGAGCTTTGAAGTTTTATATATATTTTACATGGGAAAAATGCAATTTATTTGTGCGGACTTTTTCAAGCAGTCTACACTGAGGAAAAAAATATCAAAATCCATCAGAAACGTAGTTGATCTTCTTACTATAAACGTCAACAAAAGTACTGTATTGCCGTAAATATTCAGTTCGACTACGCGCGTATTAAAATATGACCGCTTCCGTTCTGAAAAAGCATCCGTGAAGTAAATAATCAAGATAAAATCCAAAAAAAAAATAATACTTTAATTTGCATATTGCCTGCAATGGAATTCGAACCCTGACCCTCTCTGGATTGAAACAAGTTGTGGCAAGCATCTTTGCGCACTCAGCTACATGCAGACATATGGTCTACTGGACCAGGTTGCATACTGGTAACTTGTTATGCTGTCTTGGACTATTTTAATTTGACGTAGATGAAGTGCAAACGAGCCCTGAACGTGAACTAAAGTTCTGAACACATTTAAAACGACCAGCTACGAGCCACAGCTTCCAATTTGTTATCTTCATTATCTGAACGCTTCTTCGATGGCGACATGATTTTTTTTGAACGCGCCAGCGACATCATGAATTTGTATGAGGGTGACATAAAAGAAGAGGAAGAACCTTATATGTCGTCGCGTAGGCCTGTCGTCGCCAAAATAATTACCTAGTAAGAGAACGTGTTAAAATAATTTGACAGCTGCGGTCCGTAGCTCCTCGTCGTTTTCATTGTGTTCGGGCTATAACACCAACGAAACGTAATTATATATTTATAAAAGAACTTGCTTCTTTTGTTAGAATGAGACTAATTCAGTTCTCAATTAATCTCCATGACAGTGGCGATAGCAATACTAAGCTTATTTAATGAAAGCTCTCTCTATTTTGCGTAAGTTAGAGAGCTTGTCGTGCAGTATAAGTAAAGTAGTCGTCTTCCATACCATATACGTTGCCTCTCCTCGCTGCAGCTACAACTAAGACAAGACCACCCATTCGGAAATGCGAAATCTACCATTTATGCAGGAAAGTATTAAGCATTCTTAGTACGAAAATTCTGTATGAGAAAAATTTATTCGCTTTTGCATAATCAAAATTCAAAGAATTCTATCACACTCGAGTGAGCATGGACGACATCTTTTGTCGTTTAGCTTATCGATCTCATCGTAGCAAAAGGATCATTTCGTTATAGAAAAGAAGGATGCTTCGAAATATCGTTCAGTAGAAGCTTGTACGTTTTGACGACCTTATATTCACATGTACATCGCGCCACAAAGAGCCTGCGTCCAAAGCTATGATCACCAAATGAAGCTATATTGTATCTGCATATGTAAGGAAAACTTTGTTTGCATGCTATGTCTTGGATACAGACGATTCCAAATGGACAGTATATAGCACTGGGTTTTTTGGTTACCAGATCAGTGCAGTAGGTACGGCAGTGTTCTTTAACATTGCGTGAAAGTATTGATTCATAGGTCGTAAATGCATCTGACAACGCTGTTGACGTTTTATTCATCTATGTAGGAGAATCTACGGTCCTTCAAAATCGTTTCTATAAAAGCTAGACCGACACTGCATTGTTGGTACTGCTCCCTTTGTGAGAGCCGCTGATTTATAGTTCACGGATTCATCAGTTAGTATGCTTCCTAAACATCGCAGCTATTGTCGTGTTGCCCACATAACCTCAAGCTTGTTCTTCTTGGCGTAAGAGTTTGGGCTTAACTTTAAGTATTTGCGTTTTCAGTGATTTGAGGATAGTCCAGACAGTCCATGGCGCCTTCTCTCAAACGTCCGTTCTATGCAAAATATATGCATACATATGTACATCATTTTCCTGCCTTGTCTAAAGAATCAACTAACACCAACAAAACAAAAACACGCATTCTTAATACATATGTATAATCTCACTTTTATTAAAATGTTTCCATACAATTTATTTTAAAATATGGAATACATAGGTGTACAATAGAAATTGTGCATTCAAGCTCACTTAATAAATAAAATTGTTAATCAACCAAAAAATTTATATTTAACAAAAAACTTTGCAAAAATCCACTTCCAAATACAAATTTGCATCTAAGAAATTTGAAAGTACGAAAATTGTCTCAAATTATCTCAAAATCTCAAGATTTCGCAAATAATTCGGCAGTCGGCGATTCAACAAAGCCAAAAAAGCTTTAACACTCTTGTAGATCACAGTTACAGTTACTATTTGTACATTTGTTGATACATGGGCTCCCTAAAATATAAATTTACACAGTAAAGGCATTAGGAAAATCGCATAAGCCCATGATAAATAAATTAATTTTGGTCAAAAAACGTTTTTGAAGAAAAATATAAAACTACTTTTCCAAAGACGTCTCCAAACTTACAAACCTAAATTTCACTTAAAAATTAATTTCGTGCGCTAAACTCGTTCAACCTTCAATAAAATGCCATTTTTTGGTAGCCTCTTACCGGACTTGGTCATCGCACTCACAGAGAAGCGAAAGTGCTGCATCAGATATACTAATGCCACACGCATTTCCATGTGACCAAATCGGAAGCCGATGCACTTGCGCGGTCCATCGCCAAATGGAAGCCACTCGATCTTCTCACGCAGCTTCACCCTCTCCGGCGTGAAGCGTTCCGGATCGAAGAGCTCAGGATTCGGGTAAATTTCAGCATCGTAATGTATGCCAACTACGGGTATTGTCACTAACATTCCTGCCGGTATGACATACTTCGGATGGCCGGGTACCACGTAGTGGTGAAGCGCCTGACGCGCTAGGTGCGGTAACACCGGATACTTACGCAACGTTTCTGTAGATTGCACGTATTCTAATAGTTGTCATTCATTTTTTATTGCACACACTCACCTGCCAATACCTGCTTCATATATTGCATCTTATTCAGACACTCATAGGTGAGCTCATTGTCGTGCTGTTCCAGCGTCTCATTGACCTCACAGCGTAGCCGCTCCTGCAGCTCGGGTTGCAGTGCCAACTCATACAGTGTATATGAAAGCGTCCCTGATGATTTTTCGGAACCTGCAGCAAAGAAGAAAAACGCTTGCGCTGTCATCTCCTCCACAGTCAGACCCTTAAATTCATCATTTTCATCATACCTTAAATTTTAACTCTTACTCAGCTCCATCAGCAGATTCATCAAGTCGTTGCCGCGTACATTGTTCTTCTGCCGATATTCCACATTCTCCCTCACCAGGCGCATAAAGAACTTCTCGATATCCGGATGAGTTACCGCCATACGTAGCAAGCGCGCCAGCTTCGGAAATCCCTCAATCAGAGCAGACACCAGCAGTCCATGCCGACGATCGGTCGAGATACGACGTCCAATTGTGCGACACTCTGCGTTCGGATTCTTGAGACTGTTGCACTCAATACCCAAAGCACACTTTCCAATGACATCTGTGGTGTAGCGGCCCATCAGCTCCTTCACTTCGATGCTACCGCCGCGCTTTACCAGTTGATTAAGCACATCGACCATTTGCAGTGCCACATTACGAACGTACGGAAACATGCCACGCACTTTATATTCGGAGAATGTTGGCGACAGTTTGCCATGCAGTATACGCCACTTTGAACCATCCACGAAGAACAAGTGACCCGTTAGCGGATCATCCTTCTTATTGTGGAACAAACCACGATCGCTGAAGTTCGCAAAGTCCTTGATCAGTATATTCTTGACAAGTTCCATATCCAAGACCATCACCGCAGGACGTTGGAAGAAATAATAGCCGCAGAATGGACCGCAGTACTTGAAGCGCTCGTACATGGAACGCAAGATCTCGGAGTAACCAAACGCCTTGGTCAGACGATGAAAACTGCCATATAGGTAGCTAGGCTCGTCGTGTGGTATGCCGCGTTGCCGCCAATAGTTCATACGGCGCCAAAATAAATATGCGACAGTCGAAATTAAAGCCGATACACAAGCAACTAACACCAGCATCAATGGCATTGTGAAATTCAGTAAAAACAGCAGATAAATAAACTAAACTTAGATGTACACATCACAAGCTGAGCGTAAGAAATAATAGCGCTACGACCGGCTCGTCGCCTTTATATAGCCGATGGAAATTGCGCGCTACGAAGTAAGCAGCCACGCGAACCGCCACTTGTGGCCTGAGCGCTTGTCTGGCATTTTAATGAGATCGCTTTGAAGCAAGCGAACCGATTTGCAGACAGGTTGGGCATCTGAGCACACCGACCAGAACGTATTGCAAGCAAAACTACGTCATTATGTCGCGCAACTATGTATAAAAACAAGTATTGCAAATACCAAACATACATACATAATTAGTAAAGTAAAATATTTCAGTAGTTTGCCTTTCCGTTGTTTGCTAAAAGAGTGCATATGTATACAAAAATTTGTTTGATGCTGTATTAGTTTTTCGAAAAGGTAATTGGTTTAATGTTTATGGTCTGATTATGGCAACTTAACATTACTTGTCGGCTCTCACTTAAGCATTCTCTTAAATGGATGTTGCTTATAATTGAATAGCCGAAATTTAACGTAACTTAATGCCACGTCGAAATCTGTTTCATTTTGATTTTTTGAAGTTCTACGTTCCGTTAAGTTAAGTTAAGTTGCCATAATCAGGCTTTTAGTCGCTAATCATATGCCAGCTAGCAATGATATTCTCGCCGTGGTGAAAGCCTCGCTATCAGCTTGTGAGTTGAAAAGCCAAGCGTCAATACATAAGGTTGAACTAGCATACAAATTTGTATGGAAATAAATGAATCAAAATTAAGCAACTGGAACGTTTTCTCTGAGTCTTGAATTATGTTTGATGCTGATGTGGTTTTCTGCTTTAACTACGAAACTATGACAAAAATCGCTACTTGACAAGAACTTTAAAATTGGCAGTCCCAGAAGTTAGGAATACTGATCAGCTGTGTTAGTCTTACTTCATCAATTCTAATAGCCCTTGGGTGTCTAAGAAGCTAGCTTTACAGTCCGCGCTCCACCATTTACAGAAAAAAATCGTACGGTTCCACATGTTCCCGTTTTCGCCCATCATCTGCCTAGCTGGTATGGAGGGCCCATCTGTGCAAGAGTAGTCGGCAAACAGTACAAACCGTCCCACCTTCTCTTTAATCGCTGACACCAGCTCGAGGGTTCCTTCCCTAACCGGATTTTTCTCTAGGCAGTTTCCTTCAACATCACTGGAACATGTTAGCCATATGCTAAGCCTAACTAGACATACATATGCCA